GCACGACATCCAACCCAATTGAATGATAACCAAGCCAACACAAATAGAGTCCAAAATGAACCAACCTACCATAATAATCGATAAAAAAAAAGAAAAACACACCTAATAGAAAAACCGCACAGCAAGGCGCGCATAACACTCCAGTACATGTACTAGCCATCGTTATTATCATAGGAGTCATAGTTTGGAGGCAAGTGACCCTCATTGCCAGGGGTTGAGATCCTCTGCATTACTGTATGGTGTTGTAGTGCGGATGACATGTGGTGCCGGGTCCTACGGAAGTGACCGTACTGCATGGTGGACTACATGAGAGGTCCTAACCCCATTACCTGATTAGTATATAGCTTACTGAAGCTACTAGTCGTCGTCGGCCACGAAAGTCTGGTTGTACAACGCCGAGGCCATCTCATGAACTACAAGCTTCTTGACGGTGATGGAGGAGCCGGTGGCGTTGTTGAAAAGGTACACCCCTGCCGCTGTGTGGATGGCTTCCATCGGGTACACACGCGACGTCGCCGTCAACCTCCCGCCCATCGCGAAGCTCTCCACGATCGAGTGGTCCACGAGCACCCTCACAGATAGAGCCTCACCGTCGAGCACTGGCACTGTGCTGCCCACCACCCGCTTCATTACATCATTCGCTCGGGACGACAATAACTCGTCATGGCAGAAGTGGGTTCGGAGCGCCCCGTCGAGGCCCCTCGACACATAGAAGTAAACCGCGAGTTGTTCGCTGCCACCGTTGCCAGCGGCGTGGATGAGGAAGCCGAAGGGACCAAGTGGGCCCATGGTTGAGGCTCCGCCACTGGTGCTGCAGTTGTAGTTGACGTTAGCCTCGTTGATGATGGCAATAGCGGAAGTGTCTAGGCGAAAGGAGGCCTCGATGTCAAGCTGTGTGGCTTGGCGGAGGCGGAGAGGTATAATGGATCCAGTGTGGATAGTGATGACGCCAAAGTCGGTGCTGTTGAAGCGGAGGGTCTCGATCTCCTCCACCGGCCATTGGAGGAGGTTCGTCCGGGTCTTCTCATCCAACACTACCGTCCTCGGAATCGTCTGCACACATGTAAGATGGGCAAGTCCTCTGATTATGAATGCACAATGTTACCAAGAACTTAAAAAAATGATAAGAATGATTGGTAATAAAAGGTCTTGCAATCTGCATTGATTTCCTCCATTAAAAAAGTGACCACACAAACAAAATATAGAAATGAATGAAGAAAGTCCTGATTTTGTGTGTTTTTAGCTTGTTTTCAGAAAAGAGAGTAAACCTCCGACCTATGCATAGGTTGATGCACACGACCATTGGTGTGTTTAGTTAAGCTAACCCGTGCCTCAATCACAACGGCCACCATATTTATGCCAGGCACGTTTGGCGTTGCTATGGATTATGTTAATCTAGCTTTCCAAGCAAACTTTAATTCCTTTTCTGGTTAGTTAAACCGACTTTCTCTGTTTTTAAAGCTACTTTCCTACATCACATTATAAAAAAGTTCAGTACATGACAATTTGAGCCATAGGCAGATGGTTCCACATTAAGCTATACTTCTTAATTAGCCATCTCACAAGGAAACGGACAAAAGGATGATCAGGACTCACCAGAAGAAGATGCAAAAGGATGATAAGAGTGATGAATAAGTAAATAGTAAGTAATAATTTAGCATCAAGCACATACTAGCATCTTAAGCAGGTTGCATTGCACACGAGAGAAGACCGATTAGACTCATGTATAACAAAAGCATTAATTTCAGTATCCAAGAGGAGATCAATGGTCTATCTACTCCATTTATCTAGCTTTGTAGGGCGAGCCCATGTTTTTTAGTATTTTTCATTTTGACTAACAAATATGTGGCATACAACGCTGGAAGTATATGTTTAGAAACTTCGTTCACACACAAATCAACCTGGACCGAGGCAGATAATAAGGATCTAAATACCTATGCATGCCGAACAAACATGATGGAGGGAGTATGAGCATGCCTAATGAAGGAATGAAACTAATGGTTGACGGTAAACACAAGTAGAAAGGAATCATATCGATGCATAGTAACGGTGTACCTGGACGGAAGCCCATCCCTTGGCAACGTTGGCGCTCAAGGAGTCGGTCTCGCCGACATAAGCCCACATCACGCGCCGCCGTTTCACCGGGTCGTAGAAAGACGTGGCAGCGAAAAACTTTCCCCAGTCGTACCTCAGCCCGATCCCCACGTCCAGCTCTGGGTCGAGCGGCGTCCACGTGTTGGTCGCCGCATCATACCTCCCGAGCGCGTAGTAGTCATGCCGTTCATCGTCCATGCTCGCCTTCAGGACATACAGTGCCTCAGCCGAGGAGTTGTTGCTGCCGCCGACCGGGTAGAAGTCGACGCACTCCCACATGCCGGTGCCCTCGACGCGGTGGAGCACCCCCGGGATGAGCTCGTACCTGATGAAGTCCTTGGTCTTGTACATCAAGGCGATGCCGGCGTGGCCGTTGTCGTCCTTGGAGCCGATGAGGGTGCGCCATGTCAGGTCCGACTCGTCAAACCAGGCGGTGGTGGGGTCGCGGAAGTCCTGGAGGCCGATGCCGGGGGGCGGGAGGATGACGGGGTTGGCGGGATGCTTGGTCCAGTTGACAAGGAGGGGGTCATCCGGGTCGGCGGGAAGGGCGAGGCACTGGACCTGAGCGGAGGTGTCGGTTTTGCCCGTGTAGAGCACGACGACGGTGCCGTTGGGGAGGATCGTGGCGGAGCCCGTCAAGACGCCGTGAATGTCGTACCACTGGTCGGGCACCATGGCGAGCGGGAGGTGGCGCCAATGGATCAGGTCCCGCGACACGGCGTGGCCCCACGTGATGTTGCCCCAGACGACGCCCGTGGGGTTGTACTGGTAGAAGAAGTGGTACCGTCCACGGTAGTACATCGGAGCTGCATGTTGTGTTCCAGTTAAGCACATAGAGATTTCTCAAAAAGATGAAAAAAAAAAGAGTTGAAGCACATAGAGACAGGCAGACGGCTGGGCAGCGAGCTAGTGACGGACGTACTCACCGTTTGGATCTGCATGCATGTGTGCGTGCGTGTCACCATGGTACGTAGCCATGTCAGCCATCATCAATCCACAAGGAAAAGGCGGTCAGTTTCTTTCTCTCTCCGTGCATGGAGAAAGAAGATACGGAATCTCAAAACTCAACCATTGGAATGAGCAAATGAACAATGAATTTCATTTCGTACCGTTCATGTAGTTCTTCTCGGGCTGGAAATGGAACCCGGTGCGCTGCCACTGCAGCATCTCGTTGCTCCACGGGAACCCGTCGGCATCGGCGCCGGCGGTGACCATGATGTTCTGCTCCGCTCGTGCCTCCCCGCGCGTCTCCTCGGACAACACGCTGGCCCTTGGGAGGAGCGCGTGGGTGACGAAGAGCGCCACCATGGCCACGGCGCCCAGCACGACGGTGCACTCGCGCCACCTCCGCCGCCCGCCGCTCTGCTGGTACAGCAGCCCCCCGTACGCGAACGGGACCGGCGGCGTGTCCGGGACGGCGCCGGGTGACTTCACCGCCACGGCCGCCGTTCCGGAGCTCAGGAGGAAATCTTTTGATCGGGTCGTCCTGCGGTCTCGAGGAGCCATTTTTGTGCCGTATCGCGTGTTCCTTCTGTTCTCAAGAAGAACGTTACCACTCTACCATTAAATCCGTATATATATACATAGTATGTATATATTTCTCTGTATATTTTTTTTGTGAATTTATATTACATACGTACTATGTATGTGGAGGCTTTAGAACAAGAGCGGCAAGAATTTGAGACATCTATCGGTCGTTGCCTCGGGATTATCGATATTGACCGCTAATACCACGTACGCGCGTGACGACGGAAATGACGTTGACAAATGACCACGGCCAAGGTAGGAAGGCATTTCTAGCGACTTCGGCACCAGCTCCTGCTATTCCTCCCGCCATATCCACGGACGATGAGTTGGCGGAGCTGCTGCGGCGAGGCCTCCATCCCAACTAGTTCATCCCCGGCGATAGGGGTCTTGGATCTTGGTGATGCTTTTAGGCAGGGTATAATTACAATATATCATGATGATATGGGGTCCTTGCTGTAAGATGCTTGGTCTAGGTTGCAATTTTTACTTTCTAGAGGGTGTTTTTTGTAAAAAGTATTTTTACGCTTGTCTAGTGGATTCTGACTCCTTCGGGACCCAACCCCGTTAAAAAGGTATATGGAAGGGAGATGAAGAGAGACAAGAGAGGAGGGAGAGGTAGGTAGAGGGAGACGATAGAGTTATTAAGATGATGTGTGCCTTATATAGAAGAGAACAAGAGAGAGTACTAACCTCGCCGCTGAAGACTAGCGAGTGGTTCCAACCTCATTTATCACAACATCCAACACTCCAAGTAAAGAGTACAACAAAGTTGACAAATGCAGATACATGACAACGAGTGTATGAAATAGAGAGATATAGAGAGGGGGGAGGGGGTGTTTGCTTCACTTTGTCGGCAGGGATGTGAGCGAGGGGTAACTGCTACACAATATGTTAAACGACATATTACTAAAAATTTCTTTAATAATACCCTAGTCATCAATCCATGCGGACTAGCTTAATCTCATGTAAAGCATTTATGCAAGAAGTAAGTTTTGTTAGATTTAGGACGTGTTGTTCGATAGCTACATCAACTGGTTTACATGGATGACCTGTGCACAATATAAGTCATTTTTTTGAACTTGCATCTTCCATAGAGGACCCCAGAACAAAAACTAGAAATGCAATACGATCCAAGTAAACGGTACCAGCGGAAGACCAGAGCGGTTGCCACCGAGGATGAACAACTTGGGGGCGGCAGATCCGCTTCGCCATCTCCACTGGAGCACCTACAGAAGCTCGCAAAAGCTTGACCGAAACGGGATTGTTGCCACCCATCTGGAAATGACAGATCGAGATGAAAGAATGGAGCCAACAAAGCTCCGGAAGTTCGCCCTTCAATTTGACCAGAAGAAGTAAATCAGTGACAAAGGCCGGCATGTAAACGATCTATGTCATAACTCCACTCCAAGCATGCCTGTTGATGATCTCGATGATCAAAATCTTAGTGGTAGCATAACTGGAGATCGATGTGGCATCCACTCACCTCCTCTTCCTCTACCTCGGCGGCATGAAGAGAGTTGTGGGGGAAAGATCAAAAGCTCTAGATCTAGGGTAAAAACATACTTACTCATGATTTAGGCAGTGGTCAGCACCCCTGCCTCTTCGGCTCCCACTCACCGGAGCGCCAAGGAGAGAAGACCCACCATGACGAATTGCCGGAAGTGGCCTGAGAGCTCGGCGAAGCACTCCACACTACCGGCATAGCGCCAAACACCTTCATGGCGAGTCTAAATCTACATAAACCTAATTATGCATAGCGAGAATCCGGGCACATGTCCCGAGCCATCGCCGACCGACTGAGTTGTCAGACGAGGCACGGGATCAGGCTAGTCTGCTTTCGGTGTCTCTCAAATGGAAGGGGAGGAGTGGAGGGAGATGGAAGTAATAGCGGAAAAGGATGCCAGTGTTGAGTGTTGTCTGTCGGCGTCGAACTTTTTTTTTTTGCAATGGTTAGATACATAAACCTATTTTAGTGAAATCCTTGGTACACACATATTCCTATGAGATGTTACATTAGCTTTGATTACAGTTGCATGCCACAAATAGCATTCAATAGATATGTGTTGAAGAATCAAAAAATGCGGTTTGAAGTTGCATTACATTGCATTTATAAGATAACTTGTTTGGTCACATCTACAATAGTACATGAAGCTAATTAATCTATCATTATTATAAGGGCTAAGAAATATGATCATGAAAACATTTGAACATGGACAAGCAAATTTCCCACATGTTGATCTACATTAATATTGAATTTGGTAGGAAAAATAACATAGGGCAACAAGGAAAATATTTGTTTTTGGTAAAGGAAAATAGACCCAAGGGGCATAGGTACGCTAGTGACATCTCTCTCTCTCTCTCTCTCTCTCTCTCTCAAGAAAGCAAGTGGCATGGTAAGCAAAATTAGAGTTGGGTACCTATTAATATTGCAATATATATGACTATGATCATTTATGGTATAATCTCATATGGGCATTACAACCATGATAAGTAGACCATTAATCCAACTGCATCTACTACTAATGCTCCACCCAAAACCACTACCAGCAAGCATCTCGAGGTATTTAGTTGACAAGAAATAGAGCATTGCAATACGCATGATGAAATAATGCAGATAGCAAAACATCAATTAATATGATGAACCACTGACGTTTTATCCCCAGTGGCCATAATACAAATACGTGTCTTGCCCCTTTTTGTCACTGGGATTTAGAGCACCACAATAAAACCTCAAAAGATTCAGGCCCAGTTCTTTTGACCGATTCTCCCAGAATCTTGAGAATCGACCCTCCGTCCAGCTTCTGCCAGAATCTTGTATCCATATTTTTTTGTACAACCCTAGTTGTTCACATCCTAACTAGTTAGGATTGTAAAAATATATGGGTTCAAGATTCTGGGAGAAGCTAGGTGGAGGGTCGATTCTCAAGATTATGGGAGAATTGACCAAAAGAACTGGGCCTCAATTGATTCCAATGAAAATACTGATACATAAAGTGACAATCGACCATGTCCCAACAAACACACCACCAACAACATCGAATTATCCCGATCATGTGAGGCAGTGATACCTCCTTCTAATGATCCGGTAAAGGAACAAAGAGTACCCTGCACCTATTTCCCCAGAGGTGACCCAGGGTTATCGAACTCAAGAGAGGAATGTCACCTTGAAGCGATGGTTTCTAACAAGCTTTTGTTAAAGGATCAAGTCCAGCTTTTGACCAGATCAATCAAGGAAATTGTGATTCACCACTTATAATAAAAAGAAGGTATGAGTATGAGGTCTTAATAGTTACAACCATGTATTTGAGTTGGGACCAAACATGATCTTAATTTGTGCGATGAAATTCATCCATCGAGGTGTGCTTGTTATGAATCGAAGTGGAGGATGTGTCCAAATAACATCTTGACCGACACGTGTCCTGCATCAAGAATCAGTTGTCTAACCAAAGGCCCTATCCATTGCACGGGATTGTCTCGACAAATAAGATTATAATAATCAGACAAGAGCTTTGGGCATTTAATAACTACACCTCATTAATCCCCAAGTATTGGATCTGTGTTACCATACCAAACCCTTCTGTCACTGGTGTTCAGAATAACACTTCACGTTCTCCTCGCCCTTAGCCTTTCCGTACCTGCAGGGATGAAGATCACGGACAAGACAAGAGACATCTACGGAACAATTTTATCTCACACATTCGGGATGTTAATTCAAAGCGGTTCCATTTATCCCTAAAACAAATACAGAGGGTTGCAAGGCCTATGCCTCAACCCATACCTTACCGAGCTACTCACATATAGAGATCAGATCGCAAGCAGAACACATTGAAGAACACATCTTGAAGATTGATTGAATGATAATATGACTTACAATGGATGCCTTGTGCGATGCATGATTACAAGTATGAACTAGAGGGAGATGGACTATGGTGGTGATGGTGACTATGGAGATGGAAAATGGCAACGGCTAGAGTTGATGAGAGGGGAAGAAGATGGTCATGTTCTGACTTCGCTCGACGATGCTTTGTCGACATTTTGGCGTCCCTTTATAAAAGTTTTTCTGGTGGACGAGGAGCCTCAGAATCCACGCCATACAAGCGCTCATACACACGCTTATGGTCATATGAAACGCCGTCTTTTGCCATGTGGCTTCTGGTGCGCCTCCTCTTTATTTCTTCTATCTTCTTTCTTCCCTTTTTATCCCATTTTCTGTGGAAATACATCAAAGAGAGGATTGGTGGAATCCTTTTCATTCATTAGTCATTAGTAGCAATATCAGAGAAAATACCTCGGTTTTAATAAACACCTTAGTTTAAATAAAGGGTGAATGAGTGTAAAAATATCACACATCAACTTCCCAAGCTTAAACTTGATTTTCCTCGAGCAACATAGAGAGAAATCCAAATCATATGGAACTCAGTTGTTTAAACCAAATAAAGAGAAGGCTTTGGTTCACTTACGATTGGTACGCCTAGATAGCCCTCCGCTTCTTGACTTGAAAACTTAGTATTGTTGTAGTGCTGGCATGGTTATTATGCAAGTGTTAGTGAAGAAAAGATAATCAACACAAAGTTCTTGATCTACTAGATAAAAATCGAGGGATGATTTTGGGGATGACAAGCCACTATAAAACCTAGGAATACATGATCTCCCCAAGTTTCAGAACCACACAGCCACAGAAAAGCAAATTAAATCCAGAAATCCAAGAAAATCCTCAGAAAAAGAAAAGGGCAAAACCCAGGCTGTTACAAAAAACCCTGCCTCCCCTTCTCTGCAGCCTGGTTATTCCACACCTCCATCATCAAGCTACACACCACCCAATAGTTGTGCACCGCCACCATCGTCACCGCCCATGGAGAACTACGAGCTCAATCCGCGGCGTTTCTTGCCGGCGGGTCATGACATTGTGGATGCTGGTCCGCAGAGGCTTCTGCGCATGTTCTACACGCTGGCACCCTCCCCCTTCCCGCTACCATGAG